GAAATCTTATGGCACTTAGATTAAAACGGTGTATGTGTTCCTTTCCATGTGAGTTTGTTAAAACCAAAGTTTATGACAAATTCAAACTCATATGGACCGAACTTTCTTAATCTTGATTTCTTGCCTTATGTTAGCACAGCTGCCCACCACGTCTTCCAAGTAATTAAGCAGCTCACCCTTTTCCTATCAATGTACCTTTCATTGATTAAGGTGCCTTGCCTTTTATGCGTTCAAAATGAGAACTCATAGAACTCACATGCATAATTAACTCAATTGGAAACAACACAGAAACAAAATAATGTCATCACGATAGGTTGTAAACCTCAACTCGTGTGCTAGTGATGATCGATAAGGTTTATTTGATTTGTTCTTGAAACCTTTCAAGACCATTAAGACTCCCACTGACTCCTTGACATATAAGATTCTCTTGTCAATAAACATTTCTTGACAACCAAATATTCAAGAGTTAGTGTAGTTTTTATCATAACACTTCATAAATTGGTCCTAGTTGGCCTTTGTCTTATCCAAGACATCATAACTTTCCACATTTGATGAATGTTATAAACCTTCTTAATACTTTTCACTCATTGTCACAATCTTAACTTTAAGACTTGTTACTGGAACGAAGTATGATTGACCTCTTGATTTAACCATTTCTTCAATTCTTGATTCCTCTACTTAGACATACAATTGTACTAACACTCACTTAGAGGATTAATTAAGATACGGTTCTTAATCATAAAGACCTATCAGAAAGCATAAAAGGTACTCTCCCTTCTTCTTAGAATGGAGAAACTTTTATCTTTCTTCCTACTTGATTCTTCTTATTCGTTTTGCTATTGATTTAAACCTTTTTAATTAATTCGTAATTACACTTAATCTTATAAGTATAATCATATTTACTAAACTTTTAGTAAATCATGACGAATATCTTGTTACTCTTATGGTGAACTTGATCAACACACAACTTTGTGTGCTCGATCTCCTAGTCCTTCACTTGACACTTTGTCAATGAATTAGTCTAATTTCCAAATATGAAATTTCTCATTCATCATGCAACCAAGTTGCGTGATTCCAAAATTCTGTCAAATTGAAACTTAGGCGATGAGAAACTCTCCCTATTTGGTAAATTCTCAACTTTTCCATAAACACCATAAACAAGAATCATAACCATTTGTTGTAGAAATATGCACACACCAATTTTCATAATGATTTCATTACAAGGAAATAAACAAATAAATAAATAAGTCAAACGAAAATTTTTTTTATTTATAAAAGCAGCGGAAAACATTTGTCCTTACAATGCAAAATACATTGAAAACTATGTATTTCAAAAGGAAAATTTCTAACAACTCTATCATAACTATCTAAGCTCAAAATATAATCTTCACGTTCATGCGATCAAGATCCATTTCTTGTGATTAGATTCATCTTGCTCATTCACCAAGCTTCCTTTCTTTTCACCGGTCGTACAAAAACATTCAAATCAATCTTATCACATCATGTATTTTTGAATCAATGAATAGGAACTTAACAAAGTTAGATAGTGGATTTTACCTGAAGCACAGCCGTATTCTTTGACTCTCCCATCTTTGGAATTTTCAGGCTCTTGGGGAAGACTTCTATCCAACGCCCTTTCTCTTGGCAGCAAACGCAGGTCGCTTCTCTTAGAACGTCTTTGGAAGCATGGTCGGTTAACTTTCCCAACAAATACGCTCCATTGCTTCGCCAAATCAATTCTGATTCAGCAGCAATGAGCATGTAAGTTAGGTTAATGAGGTTGTCGGCATGATCCATCATATAATACTTTCTTTTGAACTCATTATATGATTCAGGAAGTGACTGCAAAACCCAATTCACAGCCAACTCATCCGGGAATGACACACCCAACATTATCAACCTATCAATGTGTGATTTCATTCCTAGAACGTGGGCACACACGGGTTTACCATCTTCATGTTTCATTTCCAATAGGGTTTTACTGATGTTGAACCTTTCAATTCTTCGATCTTGTGGGTTAGGGAGAACAATTGGAGGAGGTGGAGGAAGTGAAGCATGATTTCTTGTTCCTTGATCGAATCGTGGAATACCATCTTCATGTGGAATGCTTGTTCCACAGGATTTGGGAAGACCATAGTTGTCGAACTTTGACATCTACAAAACGGGAGAAACAAATTCGAGTTAGTTGATTGATTGAGTATTTGGTAAATCACCCAAATGAAATTCCAAGGCTAAGACCCAACACAATACGCTACAACCTAGAAAAGGGATGTCGTAATCTAGTTGCAGAATATTTGAAGGTAAGTGAATGACGATTCACTAATTTCCACCTTGAAAAGCGAAAAAGAAATTTAAGTTTTAAATCTATGAAAACTCCTAGATCCTTTGAGATTTATCGAACATTTCAATGGCATGTTTAAATCCCGATATGCCCCTCTTGTTTGTGACTGGGATGTCGAGGATCACAAAGCGGGTGTGAATTACCATGCAAACTTACATGGTGCCCTCACATGTTACAGTCACCTATTCGATGTGCCGGTAAACCACACACGCGCCACCGAACTATGACAAACATTGAGTCACCCTTTTCTACCTTTGCTTAGAACCATTTAGTGTGCCGGTAAACACACACGCTCCACTAACGTCTTCGCAAGGGCCCAAGGTGTAATTTCATGGAATTGCATCAATTCACTTTGCCTAAGTAACTAAGATTGTAAATTTGAAAAACATTTAGTTACTTTGTATTTCATTATACTTATAATGGAAGGTTTCGTCCTATGCTACCCGTTCGGCTAACGACCCTCCACTAGTCAAGAGTGCGGTGGGTAAGAGTGGATACCCATTCAATCGCCATATTATAGGCAATTTCCTTAAACACCCCTTATAGACCAGCTTCGTGAATGAGGCCTACTAACGGTAAGACTGAATTTTACTCATACATATGTATAATGTTATACTTTTAATGTTATATATAGTATAAGGTGCATTTTACACTTTTAAAATACTAGGTGGTCAAATTTAACAATTATACTTTTAATTCAATTAAATTGTAAACCTAAACTTTTATGGATTTATTAAACCTCTTGTAATTATACTCCTTAATTAATTAATAAAACCATAAGGGTGTGATTTGAACTTTTCAAAACATTACTAGGGTTTTAGAATTTAACATTCCTAAATTAAACTTTTAATCAACTTTTAAATTCCAAAACTTGAGGGCAAGTTTAGAGGCATTTCAAAACATTTGGGTTTAGAATTTGAATATACATCACAATTAAACTATTAATCAAAATTTAAATTCCAAAACTTGAGGGCAAGTTTTGAAACCTTTTTCAAAACATTAGGGTTTTAACTATTTAAATTTCAAAACAACTAAACTTTGGGTTCAAATTTAAACTATAAAACCTAAAGGGGAAAATATGAAACTTTTCATAACAACAAGGATCAAATAACAAATAATCTAAAATTAACAATTAATCACATAATTATCTATATTTGATTATTTAATGATTTCTTGCAAAACAATTTACCAATTTAATCAAAATAATTAATCAATTATCACATAAGGAAATTTTATTAACTGATAAATATCTTCAATTAGATCAAGAATATAGTCAAATATATCATAAAATCGGATTAATATTGATTTAATATGATAAGGCAACTATCCTTAAGCAAAAACAACAAGATATCCCGGTTTTCCCTCCTTCTGACGAGCCGACTCGCCGAGTCAGGAATGGACTCGTCGAGTCACCATGGACTCGGCGAGTTCATCTATGGATTCGGCGACTTCAGCCTCTAGAAACACAAAAATCGAATTTTTCAGTTACATTAAGCATCAATACAATACAAACCAATCAAGGCTCTGATACCACTGATGGCTTTTGGTCATACGAACATCCTATGTGCTCATACAAACCCTAATGCTTGGATCTAGGTTTCTCTATTGTACATGCAAGTTAGCCAAGACTATAAACCCTAATTCTAGAATTCAAGTAATCATATTAACATGAGAATAGGTTTAAGATCATACCTTGATTGTTATGTAGCAATAACAATCCCAAATCTCCTTGTATTAACTTTACAAAGCTTAGAGTCACAAATGTCACTCCTATAATGGTTCACAAACACCAAGAGCAAGAGGATGAAGAGGAGAGAGGATGGAGGCTGCCCAAAAATGTGTGAAACCCTAGAAGGATGCTTAGCCACGTTTTTGGGTCATAAGGGTTCTATATATAGTGAGGCTATTAGGGTTATCTAACAAGGAAACCCTAATTTGGATGCTTAATCCCTAAGCAACCCATGGACTCCTTTCCTTAAGGCCTTGGATGATTTCTTATGGGTTTCCCCATAGAATTCATCCACTACTTAATATAAGACAATCCATAGCCCAAATTGCAATTATCTTATAACTACAATTCCAGTCCCTTATGTTTAATTAATCCCATTTAGTCACAAAACTAATTACCAATTAATTCTTGACTAATATTAATTAAACAATATGATTTCTCCTTTAATATATTATTCTCATAATATATTAATAAATCATATTTAATCCTTTCTCTCCATAATTCATCCTATCAAATTGCTTTGGTGAAGGCAAACCAAAAGGACCATGCACCATCGGGTCAAGTACATACCAAAATAGTTATGGACTTAGACACTAATCCAACAGTTCATCCCCTGGCAAGTCTACACCAATAAGAAACTTCCACTCGCGGAGCATGATCTACTAATCGAAAGCCGCCAATCCTTGCAAGGCCTGAAAAAAGTAGAAGATATGGTCGGGGTTCTATTCCCCCGAATCCAAGTATAAAAAGGCCCCTTTCTCCTCCAAGAGAGACAACCGATATAGAACATTAGCCATTATTTACACACTTTCTTGTCTTCTCATCAAGACATAGAACTGACTAGATTGTCGGAGTATCGTTTCGGGACATCCTCCCAGACGATGACTAATGATCTTGTTTCCTTTGTTGTGATTTCCAAGCCCCCTTTTTCTATCCCTCACGAACTAGGAGATGAGCCGTATACATATCACAACAGTTGGCGCCATCCGGACGCACAACCAGTATGTTATAACCTACTGTGCGACACCAGGTTCTGGAAATGATGGATAAAGGGTTGATACAATAAGAAGGCGATAACAATAGCCCAATGAGACCACTGTAGTCCCTTGACGGAGGTGGTCCGTCGACATTGGAAGTATATCCACTCACATAGGCACCAACAATGTCGGCAGTTGACTCCATGGCGAAGTTCATTGCTAGCTTATGGCAATTGCCGCTCGTCAGAACAACATAACCAGCCACAAGTACAACTGTAGCGCCTCAAAGAGTGCCAACCACTGAATCCCAACAAGTAGCAAATCAACCATAGCCATCGACACGGTAGGAGGATACCAAAGGTTGGTCCCCCAACACCATTCTATCAGCCGCACCACTTATAGGCCACCATCCCTCTCTAATGGCCGTTAGGTCACATATCCCGTTATTCGCCCAACAACTGTGACAACCTGAAATTTCCATTCTGTAAAACATATCAAGTCAATAGAAGTCAAAACAATATTGTTAATTTTCAAACTTTTTGGTTTAAGGTTGAGTATTTTAGGATTAACACTTTAGGAGATATCAAGAGAGAGGATGCCCTAGGGTTTATTGTGCAACAATAAAGTCCCGACACATCAGGAAATTGGATTTTACTGCCTAAACAATGGTGTTTACGGCCGTAAACCCCAAAGAAGGGGGTATATAAGTGACAGTTAATCTTAAAAATCACTTTTCCACCTTTCTAAGAGTAAACCCCCAAACTCTCTCAAGTATCATCCCAGTTTTCTTCAAGATCTTCGATCTAGTAAGTGTTTCTAACCCTTTCAAGTTTCTACAACACCTAATCTAGTGTTTTAACACACATCCATCTGTGAAAATGTTCCAAAATGTTGATTCTTCTAGTTTCACCAAGAACACACACTAGTGTTCTTGGACTTTTGCCTCATTTCAAGATTCCATATTATAAGTGCTCCTATCCTAGAGTCTTATAAGCTTTGTTACACTTCTAAATACCAAGAAAACACCCAAGAAACCAAGGATCAAGGGTTTTTACGGTCCAAGAACATCTTGGGCCGTAAAACCTAATTTTGGTGCCAAAGTGTGCCTTATCCTTTCATAAGCCTTGGAAACTATCCTAGAACCTTACCTTGATGTGCTAAGTACTTGAAAACATCGAAATACCATGGTTCATAGGAGTTTACGGCAGCAAACACATAAAGAAATGGTCCATGGGCTGTAAACTCCATTTAGGAGTGAATTGTTGCACTAATCACTTCCTAAGGCTTAGACTTTGAGTTAGGACGCTTCAAAATGACTTCTAGGACTTCAAATCAACAAATTGTCAAAGGATTATGAGTTTACGGCCATAAACTCAAGGGTTTACGACCGTAAACTCAATGAGTTATGGTCTTTAAGGCATAAACTCATGAAAGGGGTTCTATTGAACCCTAAACTCAATGGCCTTGTCCTACAACACTTAGATGCACTCCTTAGCGCTTATAACACTTATATAAAGTGTTTATCATGTCCTAGGATGTCTTAACTTTGTTAATTAGTTGTTTAAAGACTAATTGGATACATATATGTATTACTATATGTTAACTAGGATCCTTGTGTGTGTACAAGTCTTCACTTGACACTTAGCATCCTACGTCAGTCAATACATCTAAACCATCAACTACAGATGATTTCATACCCCATAATCAATGTTTTAAAGGTTTTTAAATGCTTTTATGGGGGGGGGAATACAAGGTAAATCATGCTGGTTATTATATCAATCATATGTGATTAATAACCAACATAAAAATGGATTTACTACACTTGTAGCTGTTTTATCAAACTGATTACTTGAAATGGCTTTCCAAAATGTTTTATGTGACAACTTGAAATTTTCATTCTGTACGAACATTATCAAGTCAATAGAAGTTAGAACAGTCGTAATACATTTTCAAACTTTTTCGTATAAGTTTGAGTATTAAGGGTTTATACTTAAGGAGATATCACGAGAGTGGATGCACTAGGGTTTTGTGCAACTCTGGTATTCCAAAACTCTATTATATTAGAGTTCATTTCGTGAATGAAATATTTCTTTCAAAAACCTCAGGACTATATATAGAATTTTGAGCCATATTCATTCATTATTTACATTTCAAACTAGAGAAAAGCCATTTTCTCTCTCACGGATCTTCGGGTTTTCATCCAAATCGTGAGTACCTTTCTCTATTTGTATTATATGGCTTATAATGTGGTTAATAACATAATTTTCCTAACAAAACAATTAGATTCGAAATTTTACTGCCCAAGAACACCTTGGGGAGTAAACTCTTAAATTGATGCCTAGTCCTTTCCTGTGATATGTAACTACCTTAGGCATGTATAGTAGTGTATAAAAGACTAGAAATCGTCCATAAAACACCAAGAGTAAGGTGTTCACGTCCCAAGAAGTTCTTGGACCGTGACATCCAAACTCAAGGGCAAAAAGGTGCCTTAATCACTCCTAAAGCCTTGGACACAAGCATAGATAAGTTCCTAGTTAATTTAGGGACTTGGAATCACCAAAAACTCATCCCCATGAGAGATTACGGCCGTAATCTCTAAGGGAAATGGTCCCAGAGCCGTGAACTCCTCAAAGGAGTGTTATTAATACCCTAAACCCTTCCAAGGAGAAAAACCACCAAGTAGAATTGCTTCTAGGGATCATGAAACACTTCAAAACACAAAATGGCATTAAGCTTAGGAGCTTAGAGCCGTAAACTCAAGAGTTTACGACCGTAAACTCCTTGTGTAAGGTTTATTGGAGAGTAAACTCATATATGGGGTCCTTTGGAACCCTAAACCCATTAGCCTTGTCCCACAACAATTTAGATACATTCCTTAGGGCTTATAACACTTATATAAAGTGTTTATTATGTTGTAGGATGTCTTAACATTTACAATTAGTAGTTTAAGACTAATTAGGTGCATATATGTGTGATTATATGTTCATTAGGATTATAGTGTGTGTACAAGTCCTCACTTAACACCTAACAATCCTACACCGTTCAGTTCATCCAAACCACCATCTTCAGGTGAGTTCATACCCCTTAATAAATGTTTTAAATGATTTTAAATCCTTTAATGGGGGGGGGGGGATACAGGTAGAAAACAACATGTTATTAAATCAATCATACGTATTTATAACTGTGTTTTCATTCAGCAGATTTCACATACTACAAAATGTGATGCATGAAATGGTTTTATAACTTAAAAATACCTTGATAGCAAAAGTATTACGTTTGAAATGTTTATTAAAATGACATCTAGTCATTGTTAATTATTGTTCAAAACTCTTAGATGTCTTACAAAACCATTTTTACCTTCTTGAACAAAACTATATCTATACACTTATGTTCTTTTATATGTATTTATGTTTGAGTTTTCATCCTTCATTCAGTTTCCCACACTCTTGTGTAGCAAGGGTGTATAAGCATGTTTGGACAATCAATTACGTTCCAGCTAACTATTATAGGGATAGTTAGGAGATACATAACATTATTCCTATTACAAGGAATTACATAAGAGCTAGTTCATTCATGAGTCTACACTAAACATTACATGAGTACCTTACTTGATGACATTACATAAGTACCTTACATGAACACATTACATTAGTACCTTTATGTAGATACATCTTCCTGTATACATTTACATGGATACTTGTGCCTCGATTCACTAGGATAATTTATTAGTATCTTCTGTGTAAATTGTCCTGCCTATCCCAGTTCAACAAGATATCTAGACGGGACTAACCATTCCAAATCCCAGCTGTTAGCACCAGTTGTTGATGAACATCTACGGATGCCTACGGTTATTACTTATATTAGGGGTACCTTTACGGGACTAACCATTCCTTGGGCCTACTATTCGCTACAGAGGTTGATGAACATCTACGGATGCCTACGTTTAATACATATATTAGGACTACCTTTACGTGGCTAACCCTTCCTCCCACCTGCTGTAGCTACAGAGGAAAATTGAATAATCTACGGATGTTCAAAGGTTATACATTTCTCTTTTCGCGATGTCGTATTAATCCTAATACAAAAAGATAACAATTACATTAGTACATTTTCCTATTACTTTATTTTGTGATACATTCACATAAACTATGAGTTAGACTAAGTACTTTTAGTAATAGTCAAAAGAAAGGAAAAACTATCATTTTCACTTACAAAACATTCGGGTCTTGTTAGAAGACTACATTTCGTACTAGTAGGAAGTAAGGGATTTTCTAGGGTTTTCAAACTTACATCAACTGTTTCATTCAAAAATTTACATAGCATACATAACAGCTTTCCAAAACAAGACAATGACACTTAAATACTTATGAATTCACTAGCCTTAGGCTGATACTCTCTTTCAAAATAACTTGTATTCTCAGGTCACCAGTAGACAGGTACGATGGCCAGGTTTTGAGAAGACGAAGCACAGACAAGACTCGTCTTTTATTTTAATTGTATATTTGCGTGTCTTATGACAATGAAAGAACACATATGTATTAAAACTTTACTTTTAATGAAATGGATGATGTTGTTGCTTGTTTACTACTTTACACTGTTGTGATACTGTACATGACGTCCTCCACCCCGGAACGTTTCCGCCGTTCTTGGTTATGGGGTGTGACAGATTGGTATCAGAGCCTTGTTTATGAATATAGTATATCAACCCATAAAAGATATACTAACTATAACTACATTGGGATTAAAACACTCTATCTAAGAGTTATACTTCTAAATAATAAAATATCAAAGTAAGTATACGTGCCTGCATTCATATTAAAACTAGTGTCACAATGACAAGAACAAAAGTATTACGATTGTTGAATATCACAAGTAAGCCTGGGGATATATGGTCAGTCTTGGGAATGGCAGAGCCTGATCAACTATGCTGGTCCAAGGAGTGATTAGAATATGCCCAAGAATGGTTGTGATGTGGCAACAAGTCTAAAAACTTACCAACACAACCATAAAGAAATACCATAGGGGTATTTGGTCTTACTGTAATTATCTTAGTTAGTTCGCCTATTTAGCTATTTCCTATATCCCTTTTCTCGCGTAGATTTTAATGGCTGGATTTCACCATGGCGATCCATACTTTCCAAACCAAGGCAACGCTAGATGGCAAGAGGAAGAACCAGAAGATGATCACCCAATCCCTTTGGATGATCACCTTACTGAGAGTTTTTCCGATTGTTCTGACTCAGAGCCTGAATTCAACAACCTACCCCCAGCTGCTCAGAACCCAAACCTGAACCCCCGTCCTGCATTTCAAGGACCCACACCCTTGTGGGCCACAAACTTGAATATATGGAGTCAGGAACACGGTCAACCTATCCCCTACAATGGAGACAGAAGTTTCTACAACCTCACTGAGTGAGGTTCTGCTGACAGGGTCCTACCCATCATGGTTCGTAGGATTTCTAGGAACACGATACTGGGTCA